GAGGAAAAGGAGCGGCGGGGAGGGCGGGAGGCAGGTGGGAGGAGAGGAAGGGAGGAAGGCTACGGTCGCGCGTGCTCGAGCGCGAGATTACCGCTAACAGCGATCGCAACGCGCAATCGACTTTGCCTGGAAGGTTGATCGGAAAAAACCGCGAAAACCGCGAAAATCCCGCGCGTCCTCTCGTTTCTTTCGTCGATCGCGTAAGCGCGTGTGGGTGCGCGTTCGAACGAGACGACGTTTCGCCGCGAAGAGAAACAAACGCGGTCGTTGCCGAGTACGCGCTGCACGTGCGAAATCCGACGATTCGGTAAGGGAGAAGGAAAACGGGGACCGAGAGACGAGAGGCCGGCTTTCGAGAAGCGACTGGAGGTAAGTGGCACGAGCTGTCGCGTGCAAGCACGCCGCGTCGTGGCGGAACGACAACAACGGAACAGGTGCGTGTGGAACGAGAAGGGCCGGAGAGTCGGTATGCGAGCTCCTCGAGCGCGCGAGCACGCATGCCTGCCTACCTTGCCGCGTTCGTTGCTTTACGAGTCGGTGCCGATCGAGGGTAACCACGGGAGTGCGGAGAAGAGGAGAAAAGAGAAGAGGAACAAGAAGAAAGAAGGGAAGGAAAGAGAAGGGAGAAGGGGAAGGAGCCGGCGAGCTCGAACGATCGCGATCAGCGGGACAAAGCGGATCGCGTCACTGGCGACATCTAGCACCGCGTACTCAGCTGTCAGATGGCTACGCGCCGTCTTCGATCCTGTATTGTCGTGCGCCACCGATCGCCGCACCGATCACCACCGTCTTCCTTTTCTTTCCGATCTTCCACGTTCCACCGTTTATACCGCCACTGCTCCTCGCGCGTCCGATTCACCGCGATCAAACGGGAAAATCGGTCGGCGTCATCGTCGTCATCGTCGTCATCGTCGTCATCGTCGTGGTACGGAGTGACGATAGAAATGCATCGCGAGTGTGTATATCCGTTACAAGGGAGAGAATACAGCGGTCGCTAGCGCGCGTTTCGATCTCGATTCGTGCCGATCCTCGGCATGCCGGCACTCGTACACGCACATGCACACACGCAGACACGTCGTGGTATGACGGAGATCGACTTACCGAAGTCGGCGATTTCGTCGAAATATTGCCACGCACCCGTGACACTCGGCGCCGATGCGTCGACGAGGCTACTGTCCGTTGACCGCGACGGATCAAGACTTTGTTCATTTGACGAGCGGGAAAGCCCGATGCGCGTTCGAAATGGCACTCTTCGTGTACTCTCACGTCCGTGGTCGCGTAGAAAAGCGCGCGCGCGCGCACGCCGTGCGTCGTAGCAATCGAGAAAGCCTGCGTTCGCGGCGCAAGCTCGACCACCAACTACCGACGATTCCGCGTCAGCTGCTCGCCGCAGCTGCACTAAAGTTCCGTTCCGACTTCCACCACCGTGTATCTCGTTCGAGTGTAACGAGGTTCCGTGGCTGCGTGTCGGACTAAGCCAGCGGCACGGCGGGGAAAGGCGCGATCGTGGAAGGCTGAGAGTGGTGGCTACGTCGGAGATGGCCGTCGGTATGGTGGAGGTGGCGGTGAAGGAGGAGGGGGTGGTGGCGGTGGTGGTGGTGGTGGTGGTGGTGGTGATGGTGGTG